TCTTTTAAAAAGCACATTCAACGCCGCTTGTACGTTGGCATGATATGCTAGCATGCCTTTAACATAGGTTACGTATACGCGCTGGCGCACCGCAATTCGCAATAGTTTGCGCGTTTTGTTTCGTTTACGTTTTTGTTGGTTGTGTAAAATAATATATTAATATATATATATATATATAGCATATAAATGTTAGCATTTATAAATAGTATAAAAATTAGTTAACTAAAATTATTGATATTTTTGAGACAAACACACAATTAATTGCTGCATTTCATAAATCGTAGTCAAAATGTGTATTAAGCAATGCGATATAAACATTTTGTTGTTGTGAGCTATAATTTACACTTTCTAGTTAAGTATTTGACGAGGACACTAGTGGCAAGGGCGTATGCATGCAAACCAAGTGATTTTAGTTCTTTATTATTTATATATATTATATATGTTTATAAATTTGCACATAAAAATTTGCGGCAGCTACAAAAACAAATGCAGATACGTTTTGCAAAAAAAGTATGGCTGTTCTATTAAATTTTTTAATTTCTATGTACGTTTTCCATCATTTTTTTTGCCCATACAAAAAGGAAACTGCACGAATTTTATAAAAATCTTCTGTAAATAATAACAATAAGAAAAGCAATTCGGTAGAAACGCCAAAAAAATTTCAATTTCACTTAGACTTTTAAAAAAAAAAACTTTCAAAATTGTTTTCGGTCATAAAAATGATTGGAAAACATACTTCTTGGAACTTTTGCCAAAATTTTTAGGAAAATGCATGGATTAAAAAAAAAAAAATTAATCAAAAAGTTTTGAATAAATATCATTAATTAATGTAAATTTTATTTCAAAAATTTTTTTTTTATTACAAGTTTTCTTGCTGGGTATAAAACAATTCTTAAAACACTTTTTTGGCAAGAAAACACACATGCATATACATACATATGTCGTTAGTTTTAATGCTGTTGCAAAATTACATTAAGTAGCTGTAATAAGTGACTTTTAATAAAAAATATAAAAATTATAATTAAATTTAAAAAAATTATAAAATTTAAAAAATGGAGTTTTCAAAATTAGTATACTTTTAGAAACATTTTAATTTTTTTTTAATATGTCGAATTTTATACATACATATATTTATAATAATTTTTAAGCTTTATAGCTTCCAGAAACATTGTAAGAATTTTTATTTTATTTTTAGAATTCGGAAATAATAATAACTTTTTAATAATAATTAATTTAATAGGTGTTGTAAAATTCATATTCTTTAATTTTTTAAATATTTTTTTTTAATAATGTTGAATGATTGGCTCAAAAATATTTCAAAATCTAGATTATTCTAGAATAATTTTAACACGTTTTTTTTTTTAATTTTAAGATATTAATTAATAAAATTTGAATTTTTATAATATTTTTGAGATTAAATATTTTATTTTTTAAAAGTTTTTTTTTTTTGAAAAATATTTATTCAAAAACCAAAATTATATATCACACTAATAAATGTACACATGGAAGTGTTAAAAAAGTAACAGCAGTTGTTTTTTTATGGTTTACATTTTTAATGTTAAATCGACAAGAAACGAAAAAAATTAAAAAATTTCAGAAATATTGACACTACAAAAATAAAAAAAACTATTTATAATAATAATAATAAATAATAAATAAAAACTATGCTTATATATAAATATAATTATGTAATAAAATAAAAGTTTGCTAAAGAAATTAATATTTGAAAATCTGAAGTATTTTTTATTTATATTTAATTTTTTTTTTATACAACTTCATTTTTTTAAATATTTCCTTTCCTTGTTTACATACGCATTTAAATAAGTTTTAGTACAAACAATAAAAAAAGTACAAAAAACAAGAAATAAAAAAAATATAAATTCAAAAATATATATGAAAAATTTGAAAAACTCCAAAAAAGAAATTATAAAACTAAAAAAAGATAAAAAACATAATTATGTATAACGAAAAGTATTACATTTTTATTTGCATTTTTAAAAGTGGCTTATATATTTATTTTTGATTTGAAAAGGTTGTTTTTGTTGTTTACATGCACGATTTCCAACTTTACACCGATTTAGCGCTGCGTTGCAAATGGCAAGATTTATAATAGCTAAAATTAAATATACGCGCGTCTTTATATAAAAATCATATGAAATTGATATATGTATATACTGTTTCCAGTAGCTAAACTTTCTTGCATTTGCTTTTATTTTTGCGGCTCAACTCTTTTGCCTCGTAAATACCTACAACCACAATAACAACAATTTTCCCCGAAAATGCCAGTGCCATTTATCAAAAACTACTCATATGCTATAGATACATAACATATAGTATGTATATATATATGTATTGCAAGTACTATTACAAAATAATTAACAACAATTCTGCGTTTTCATTGCTTAAAAATATCAAACCATCCATGTCCGTATGTAAATATATATATGTATACTATATATTATAGGAATTAAAATAAATCATCAAAAATCAATAAATCGCACAAATTTCAGACACAAATCAAGTCAAGTAAAGCAAAACTTAAAACTAATACATTAAATAATGTGGTTGTTTTTGTTTTAGCGCTTTTCAAACGTACATACATACATATATACTAATTACAAGTCGTTGCAGCTTTCACAACAATTTTTTTTTGTTTTTGTTAACAATTGTATCTGCTTTTGATTCGCTCTAAACGAATACTATCTTAACTGGTCCCATGGGTAGCTGCTTCATATAGTTCCAGGCGTCGACACGCGTCATTTTCGCTGTAGACGCGCCATTAATGCTTAAGATTTCATCGCCATTGCGCACTTGGCCGGTTTTGTGGGCAGCACCGCCTGGTAAATTAAAATATAAAAATGCACGTTAAAATAAAAAATTTAAAAAAAAATTTAAAATTATTACAACAAATCATTAAACAATTATTTTAAGAAAATATTTAAAATAAGAAATATTAAAAAAATTATAAAAAATTTATTACGTAATAGTATATTAAAAACAAATAATTTAAAAATTCCAAAAAAAAATACTAAAAATTTAAAAAAAAAATTAAAAACAAATATAATATAAAAATATATATTTAAGGAAAAAAAGCAAAACAAAATTTCTATCATAGCATATATAAAAAAAATTGCTTTCAAAATTCGTTAAAAAAGTAAGAGAAATTCGACAAAATAATTTAATATAAAAAAATTAAATAATTTAATAAAATAAAATATTTTAATAAAATAAAATATTCTAATATTTTGTTTATTCAAATATGTTAAAATTATGCTTAAGAAAATAGAATTCAATATGAAATTTGAATAATTAAATTAAGTATATACAAAAAAAATTTAATAAGTATATTGAACAAATTTAAAAAATATTGAATACATAATTAAAAATTAAAAAAATTTTAAATTGAAATATTAAATTAAATATTTAATATATATGTATAAAATAAATTAAATAAATTATAAAATATACTAATGAATACACAAAAAAAAAAAAAATAAGAATAAAAAAAAAAATGAAATAAGGCATAAAAATACCAAAAACCAAAAAAATTTAAAATAAAAAAAAATTAAAAATAAAATAAAAGTTAAAAATATAATAAAAATTTAATAAAGACGAAGTATTAGGAGCTATTGAATAAACTATAAAAATTAAACTATACAAAACACAAAAAAAAATTTAACAAAAAAATATAATAAAATTAATTACATGGTTTATAAAAAAAAATTTAATAAGTACACAAAATTAAGAAATAAAAGTTATATTCTAAAATATAAATAAATTATAACTAAATAGAGAAAAAAAAATTGTTATAAGGCTTCACACAAATTCTTATATTATATAACTTTGAAAATTCACCAATTATTAATGCAAGAAATACTAAGTCGCCTACAAGTATGCTACGAATAATATACAAATAATACGGACACATAACAGTTGTGGCTAACTCAGCATTAAAGGTCTGCTGCTGCGCTCCATATTTGCATGCAAGTCAACAAATGTACATATATGGGCTGTGTAAATGTTCTTAAATTTTTAGTTTTTTGTTTTCACCCACCCATAAAGACTTTCTTCACAATTAATGGCTTATTGCCTAACGGCGAATCGAAACCACCCTCAATGGAGAAACCCAATCCGCAGCTGTCCTTGACGATCTCGACGGACCGTGAACCGGTGGCGGCATCTTCTGTGGAAGGAAAAAATTATTTTATATGCTTGACCCAATTTAGACTTTT